TTCTCGAGCGGGGTGTACCGGAGCTCAGCATTCTGGAGGACCTTGCTCACATAGTAGACGGGACGTTGAACGCCTTCCTCCTCGCGAACCAGCACGGAACTGATTGCGCCTTGGGAAACCCCAAGATAAAGGATTAACACCCCCCTCTCCGGCTTGCTGAGTAAAGGCTCAGAGAGGAGGTACTTCTTCAGGTCGTCGAAGGCTCGTTGACACTCATCATTCCAGATGAAACCATTTTGTTTCTTTAGGACCTGGAAGAAGGGTAGGGACTTTTCGGCGGACTTGGACATGAAGCGTCCGAGGGCTGCTAGCCGGCCGGTGAGAATCTGGACTTCTTTCACTGACCTCGGGGGTTCCATGTCAATTATTACCCTTACCTTCTCAGGATTTGGCTCAATCCCCCTCCGTGTGACCATGTACCCCAGGAACTTGCCTCCTTGGACGGCAAAGGTACATTTCTTCGGGTTCAGGCGCAGACGGACTGCCTTCATGATCCCGAAGATCTCTGCCAAATCTTCTGCATGATCGGACGCCCGGGTGCTCTTGACGATCATGTCATCAACATACGCCTCCATGTTCCTTCCGAGCACCTTCCGGAATACCTTGGCCACCATCCTCGTGTACGTCGCCCCAGAGTTCTTCAGCCCGAAGGCCATGACAAGATAACAAAAAATCCCCTCTGGGGTGACGAACGAGGTCTTCTCCGCATCTTCTTCATGCATGAAAATCTGATGGTATCCTCGAAAAGCGTCCATGAAGCTAAGGAGCTCACATCCGGCCGTCCCATCGACTAGTTGGTCGATGTTAGGCAATGGGAATGGATCCATCGGACATGCCTTGTTGAGATCGGTGTAATCAACACACATCCTCCAGGTTGGCAGCTTCGGGGCGAGGACCACGTTTGCCAGCCAGACCGGGTACAAGACCTCCCGGATATGCTTGATACTCAGGAGCATGTTGACCTCCTTCTTCACGAATTCCCTCCTCTCGGTTGAGAGGTGTCTTCTTTTCTGCTGGATGGGCTTCGCCGTTGGATTGACCGCCAACCGATGGACAGCGATGCTTCGGTCAAGGCCAGGCATGTCCTCCGGTCCCCACGCGAAGACAACGCTAAAAAGGACAAGTACCTTGATAATCTTCTCCCTCAAGCCGACCGGGAGCCCGGTTCCAATCTTGACCTTCCGCTTCGGCCTCTCGGGGTCAATCTGGATCTCCTCCACGTCTGAGGTGGGTTCAGCGCGGAGCTGACCCTCCTCATACTTCATGGCTTTGCTGTTGATAGTGTGGACCCTCAAGTCTTTTTGACTGATTTGTTTGCAAGCTTTCAGATAGCAGCTCCTCGCCATTCGCTGATCTCCCCTGGCGACTCCGACGCCATTCGGAGTGGGAAACTTCATGCATAGGTGCTCCTGGGATATCACACATCTGAGGTCTTCCAGGGCCGGCCTTCCCATGATGATCTTATGCGCACAAGTTAGGCGTACGACGATAAACTCGACGTCTAACTTGGATACGCAGGGCTCGGAGCCCACCATCACGGGGAGGACTATGCTGCCCTCCGACTCAATGGAGTCCCCGGTGAAGCCCGAGAGTGGGGTTCTCACCGGGATCAAGTCTTTTCGGTCCAGCCCGAGACCTTGGAAGGTGTCATAGTACATGATGTTAACGGAGCTCCCATTGTCCACCAGGACTCGGTGGACGATCGTGTTGTTGATTTCGACCTTGATGACCAAGGCATCCCTGTGCGGCGGAGGCATCGGTGGCAAATCTGCGTCGGTGAAGAAGATGGGGTCCCTCTTCACCCTCTTGTCGGCGAGAGCCCTGGTTATCTCCCCGACGTATAGGGCTCGGGCCCACTGCTTCCGCTCTCCAGATGTGTCGCCTCCCTGGGGTCCCCCGAATATGAATGAACATCGATGGTACTTCCGGGGGCCGTTCCCTAGGTCGGCATCGTCTTCCTCGGAGAAGGCGTCGAGCTCCCGCTTCTTGGCAGGCGGTGTCTCCTTTGACGTGGTAGCTTGGTCGGACCGCTGCCACGTGAGGCTCCTCTTCTGCGGGATGCCTCCTTGTTTGCCAATGAATTGGCCCAGGTACCCTTTCTGGATGAGTTCTTCAATTTGCCGCCGGAGAATGACGCAATCATCTGTATCATGCCCTGCTCTCCGATGGAATCGACAATATTGGTCGTGGTTGCGCTTGGCAGTCACCACATCACACTCCCCCGGAAAGTCGACTAAACCTTGCTCCTCCGCGTAGTCGAGGATGGCCCCGACCGGCTGAGCAAGTGGAGTCAATTGCTTGACGGGCCGTAGCGGTCCGCTCGGGACGTCCGCCTTGCCCTTGCCTCTACTTTTGTTACCTTTGTACTTGTTGTTTTTGTTGCTAGCTTTGCCGTCAGCTTTCTCAGCACCCGAACCGGCTTCCTTCTTCTTTTCTTCTTTTGCACCTTCTTCCTCGTCTCTTTTCCTCTGCAAAGCGTCCTCCGCCTCGGCTTGCCGGTCGGCACGACCGAGTGCCTCCTCGTACGAGGTGGGGGGACTTCTGACGAAATCTTTGTAAAGCTCGCCCGATCGGATAGAGTTTGTGAGCATGGCCACCCCGGTCCTGTCATCAAGGCCCTGAACCTTAACTGACTCGGCCCTCCACCTCGCTAGGAAGGTCGACAATGATTCCTTCTTCCCCTGTTTTAGGCCGAACAGGTGGCTGAAGTTTTTCTTGACGTCTCGGGAGCTCGCGAACCTCAAGAGAAAGCGCTGAGCCAACTCACGAAAATTCGTGATACTCCCGTCGGGTAGAGAGTCATACCATTCACGAGCCGGGCCATCCAAAGTGGCGGAGAAACCGTGGCATCGGATGGCATCCTCGTACCCCATCATGACCATGTAGGAAAGGTACCGAGATACATGATGTTGGGGGTCAGAAGCGCCCTTGTATGCTTCAATGGCGCAGGGCTTGTAGCCCCTCGGCAACGGCGCATCCATGACCGCCCGGGTGAAGGGTTCGGGTATCCGGAGGTCAGCCGTGTAGGGCTCCCCCCCGACGACCCTCCTTCTCAACTCGTCAAGGCGCTGTCGTAGATCTTCCACCTCGGCCGGCGGTGGGTTCTGCCGGACAGCTCCAGCGCGGGGCTGAGCATGTCCGGCGGCACCTCCAAGTCGTCCGTGCACGTGAGGTCGGGGCCCCACGTTTTGCCTCTCCGTGGAGCCAGTCCGACTGCTCGCCCGGTGAGAGTGGCGAGAGGGCTCGCCTCCTTCCATCTGCGTTGGGCGCCCCTGCTGGGCGCCCCTCCCCGTCTGCCGATGGGGTCGGCTAGGCTGCTGGGAGACTTCTTCCCCCCGCCGATGGGAGACTTCTTCCCCCCTGTTTTGGTTGGATCCAGAGCGTCGCTCATGACGTCGCCTGGAGGACACCTCCACGTCCGCTGGCGTCTGTTGACGGGCAGGCTCATCCACGTTTCCGCCAGACACCATCTGTTGGAAATTTTGAGCCAAGGTCCCCAGAACCCGAGTTGCCTCCGGTAGGGCCCCACTGGGCTGGAAGGCAGGCTCCCGGGTAGGCTGGACCGCAGGCTCCCAGTTGGGCTGGACCGCAGGCTCCCGGTTGGGCTGGACCGCAGGCTCCCGGGTAGGCTGGAAGGAATGCTCCCGGGTAGGCTGGACCGCAGGCTCCCAGCTGGGCTGGTGGTCGACAGGCTCCTGGCTAGGCTAGAAGGTAGGCTCCCGGGTAGGCTAGACCGCAGGCTCCCCGCTGGGCTGGTCGACAGGCTCTCTTGGGCTTCCGCTCCTTGATTGCCCTGGTTGGTTGGGCTGACTCGAGCTCTGGATTGCTGGGCTTGGGCCCGCTGGTCCAAGTTCGGGGCCTGGGCCGATTAGGCTCTGGGCCTAGTCCCATAACCCCGTCATTTACAATTCTAAACTCTAACTAATCCTATTTTGAAAAATTTCCCTAAAATTAATGTGTGCACGTTACTCTGTTTCATTGTTCCCTAAAAATTTCCCTAAAATTAATGTGTGCACGTTTTAACTTTTCTAAAAATTGGGTATAAAGTCAAATTTAACCGACCTAAGTAAAGTAGCTAACGCAAATTCCACTCGTGCAACACATCATATTGAAAATAATAATTGAGATGAGATCGACAAGAGCACACGTGAAGTGCCAACCGGCCGGTCCCTCCAAGCAACGCCTATCACACCGCAGGTTCATACAAAGCCGCCCGGTCGGCCTGTGGCGGTTCTCAAGAAGTAGGAAGCTTCTCAGCCCGCCCGGCCTAGCCTTCACGTGAAAAACGAGATAATTAGCTAGCACGCATGGTACGTGTCTGCTCAATTTTAATCACTCCATTAGAAAATTGATTTTTATTGAAAAAAGACTAACCGTATTAATTAAAATAAAATAAACCAAACAATCAACAGTATCCATAAATCTTAACCTCCCTCCAATCCACAATGACCAAAAGTCCACCCCTATTGCTTGATCAGACATAGAATAATTTATCCTAAAAAGAGCGAGACTAATCCGGTGACGGATCTTGTACATAAATTTTGAAGGTTCAAATTTATTTTATAAGTTTTGGATGTTCAAATACATATATAATTTTTTACACTAGCACTCACATATATGTATTTTTACACTACTAGTTAAATTTTTTGAGTGTTCACATGAATAGTTTTGAACATAGGGAGCTTCGCTCCTGAACTAATCGCTGAACATGTGAGAGTTTCGAGACTATTAGCGGCTGAGTCACGCTGATGGCCTATCAACAAAAACCTATCAACTAAAGTACACCAAACGATCTCAGAAATTGCAAAAATTACCTGAATTGTATATTCTTATGAGACTGGAGAGAGTTTATATTAGCCTAAGATGAAAAGAGTGAAAAGTGAAACAATAATGTAGACATCCATAATGCATGGAAGACAAGTAGGTAGGAGTTTCATATCCTGCATTATTCTGTACATGACCCATAGCATTTGTTTCAAAGTATAATAATATGATGGCATGTAAAGGCAGGTAGCAAGTCTCATATTATTGCATCCGTGCGGTACTCAAACGTCCATTTCCCCATACATTTGACAACCACGTTCTGCCAATCCTTTTAATTGTGTGCGTCTTACTGTATCATTTACCAGAGGACAACTCTGGATACGAGAGCAAACCCAGTCTCCCTTCCCCATCACATGCTCTATCCATTCAAAAATGTAACTATTTTCTTTTTAGTTACACCAACAGAACTTCTTTATAATGTATACATACGAACATATATATATAGAGAGAGAAATTCTCACGTCCAGCAGCCCTCGATCCGAACGCCGTCCGAACACCGCGTTTTTCTATGTACAATTTTGTGCAGTTTTTCTATATACATACAATTATTTGTGTTCTTTGCATTTTTCCTTTGTTATTATTGTTGAGGCCGATGTAGTCCCCCAGTCTCCCACTGCTTTAGGCCGAAGAGTGTGAGGGGTGAAGGAGTTGCTTGAGTCCCTGGCCGAAGCGGCCTCTCCGTAGTGCTCCTGAATCCAACCCTTATGGCGATTTTCTGGCCAAGGTAACCCTGTGGGAGAACCCTTGTGCGCAGATCGCTTGTAAAGAGTTATCATCAGGGGTCGTTACGAAGGCCGACGGCTGCGGGTTCTTTGTTCCTTTGGTTCTGTGGCCGTTACGGGCGTTCATGACGTTCCTAGCCGTTGTCATCTCCTTATCGCTGTGGAGGCATTTGGTGCCTTGGCCGTTGCGGGCGCTTTGCTGGCATTGTGAAGCCGGCAAGCGTATAGGCCGTTGTGGGCGTTCGTTGTCCGTGTGATCCGTAGGGTTTTACTCCGCCGGTAGGTTAGTTCACGAGCCCGGCCCATTTCCGAAGGGGTGGCACCTCATTGGCTGCTGGGAAGGTGACCGCTAAGGTGGCCACTGATATGGTGCCACGTGTAGTGACCGTTGGAGAGGAGGTCTATAAATACCCCTCCCCTTCCGACGCGGTAACCTCATTTGCAATCTGTGCCCACGAAGTGCTGCTGAAATTTCTAGAGAGAGAGTCTCTGAGGTGTTTGTTCAAGTGTTCTTCCGTTTCTTCAAATATTCGAAGGTCAGTTCTTCACCTGTTCCTTTCATATTTCATATACTTTGCTTCCTGGGCCTTTGATCTAGTGTTAATAGGGGATTCACACTTATATCCAAAGTAGAGACCTTTAGGGCGTTAATAGTTGTAAGATGAAGAGTTTGGACGAGGAGTACTACCCCTACGACGACCAGCCCTCCACTAGGTCCCTTGACTACGAGGTGCTTGAGGAGTTTGAGGAAGAAATAGAGCATCTGAGCCCCTATAAGGAGGAGTCTGCCTCGTCTTCGAAAGGCGAGGACGCAGGTGCGTCCCGAGTGGTGGACGGGGCGTCCACTTCCACTGCTATTCCGTGCCTGAAGCCGGTTTCCGCCGTGAAGGGAGCAGAGAGGCCGAAGAGGATAAGGAGGCCGAAGAGTGGGTCAGGGTACTCCTACCTGGATCTCACGAATATCTACCTTATCAAGCCGGAGAGCAACGCGGCCGATTACTTAGTCGCGCAGATGTATGTGGGGCCGTTCGGGAGAGTTAGGGCACCCAGGCCGATGGACCATGTACTTAATCCGTCGCCGGGATACTTCGGAGTGTACCCGATGAGCTTCGCCAAGGGGCTGAGATTTCCCCTTCATCCCTTCATCACGGAATACTTGGACATGGTGGGACTTCCTCCGGCCTTGCTGACCCCGAACAGCTACTCGTTGATGGCGGGATTCTTGCTCCGCTGTGCAGAGTTGGGCTACAAGCCGACGACAGCTCTCTTCATGAACCTCTATCAGATTGGCCGAGGAAGCCACAAGAACTGTGCGGCCTACGCTACCCTCCAACAATTTCCGAAGAAGAGGAGCTTCACGCACTTGCCTTCGTCCATCCATGGTTGGAAGAGTAAGTTTGTTTTCGTGTCCCTTGGTGAGAACGGCACTGAATTTCCCTCTCTCGGCCATACTGGGAGGTTCAATCTGCACGACCCGCCGAAGAGTTCGATCTTGGACGCTCAGGTGGAGGCGTTCCTGGACGGGGGGCCGAGGAGCGTGAAAGATTACATTACCTAGTATAAGATGACCGCCCTCGGCTTCTTCAGGTATTATGTGTATGGTGACAAGGAGGACGATGCCCAACTGTGGCCGAGGATGACCGCTACCTTTGAGGAGGCCGACGGCCCGAATTTGGGCATTCCTGCTGAAGCCGATGGTAATACTTCCTCCGGCTTTCTTCCTTTGTTTTTGTTCCTTTACCTTGCTAACCTGTTAATTTTCCTTTGCGTAGACTTCGTGATGGATCGCCGTTCGATAATGGCCAAGGCCAAGGCCAAGGCGGCCGAGGCGGCGAGGCGTGCCGCGGCCGAGGGAGGCGAGGCTGCTGCTGGTGTGGTCCCGAAGCCTGCCCAGTCAAAGAAGAAACGGCCTCCCACTAACGGCCAGAAAAAGCTGACCGAGGCTGGTCTGAAGCCCGCCAAGAAGACGAAGAGGGCGCCGTCTCCTTCCCTTGCTGATGAGGTCGGCGTTCTGACCGTCCCAAATGTGGACGATGGTGGTTCTGGCGCTGCTGTAGCCATTGTGGATCTTACCGCTGCTCCTTCCAGCGTCGTTGCTCAACCGCTCCCTCTCGTCCAGGAGACTCTGACGAAACGGGCTGGCAAGGAGATTGCCACTGCCACTTACCAGAAAGTGGTGGAGTACCCCGTTGGCGGGGGTGTCTTCGATGATGGCGTTGACGGCCATGATGTGCTTGCCCAGGCCATGCCGGCCAAGGATCGGGTCTACCTCGACAAGCTCGGGGATGTCAAGATCTATGAAGGCGGGATGGACCTCATCGTCCAAGTAAGTTCCTTTCCCTTTGATTTGTTGTTTTCCTTGTCGTCTGTGTGAAGTCATTGCCTGAGTTTTGGTTTGCCTTTGCTTTGCAGGGTGCCTTTATGCTCATGGAGAGCAACAAAAGGCAGCAACGGGAGATTGCTCGCCTGAAGGAGTTCGAGCAAAAGGCTGCCTCGGCCGATGAGGCGATGACCTGCTTGGATCGGCTTCGAGAGGATGCCAAAGCTCTGCAGAAGAGAGCCGATGAGGCTGCTGCAGCCAAGGACGATGCCCTGGCCAAGCTTGCGGAGAGCCAGAGGGCACTTGAGGTTGAGCGGCGCAGGACTGATGAGGTCGTGAAGGCTAAGATTGAGGCCGAGGCTGCTGCTGTGAAGGCTGCTGATGAGGCCGTCCAAAAATTCCTGACCGAGGGCTGGAAGGCCGACGAGCGGCTCCCCTGGTGCTATGAAGTTGTGGCCGCCAAGCTCGAGGATTGGGGAATGAACTCCCCCGCCGGCCAGGAGTACTTTCAAAGGGAGATGTCCGTGTACTACAACATGGGCCAACAACGGATGCAGAGGCTCCTATGCCGGCGGCTGGCGCGTGCCCTTAAGGCGATGAACTACACCTCTGGGTGGGCGAGGCGGAACCTGAGGCTTCCCAGGCTGATGAAGGATCCCGAGGAGTAGGCCAAGCTCCCCCCTTCGGAAAGGGAGGCCCCGATCGATAGTTCCGGCCTCGGCGAGCCGGACTACGATGAGTTTGATTTCTTGGACGACGCTACGAGCTCTGCAGTCGCTGTCGGTCAGAACACTGAGGCCGAGGAGGAAACCGAGGATGCCGATGAGCAGACCCATGCTGAGCATGTTGCAGATGAAGGCGCCCAGGAGGCGTGATCGGCCATTCCCTTATCTTTTATTTGTAATTAGTAGCATCCCAATTTTTGCCCAACTGAATGTAATGGCCGTAGCGCCCCCTTTTGTAATTAACATTTTGATGAATGAATGCTCTGCCGGCCTCTTCGGTGGTTGATGTCTATGCTTGTTTCCTTTGCCTTTTCGATTTTGAAATTTTTCTAAGTGTTAAGTTAACAAATTAGGTCACCCGCGAGTGTTTGCTACGTCTGTAAGGTAGTCAATTTAGTCTGGTGGCCTTATCGGCCCGTCCGCCGTTTCTTCGCTGTCGCAACACATGGGATTTCTTCAAAAAAATTCTAAGTGTTTGAGATCCACTTAGGTGCTTCCTTTCCGTCATGACCGAAGCGGTCATGCTGGGGTGTCCGCTGCGTCTTGGCATTGTCTCATTCCTTTTGTTGTTTGGTCTTAGAATTTTTCTAAGTGTCCAACTTCAAGTAGCCCCTTTAGTGTGGTGTCTTCCGCGGCCAACTAGAATGGTGTGGCCGATACGTGACGCCCACCATCTGTGTTGTGGGGCTCCACAACTGTGGACGACGCGGGTGGCCGCCTCGTCCACGCTTCCTGTGAACATGTAGGCCTCGTTCCTGCCCACGTAGTGCCTTCCTCATCCTGACGTTTCACCCTGATGCTAAGTGTTAGGGGGAGATCTCCCCGTTTGCATGCCTTCGTGCCTTCATCGGCTTGGTGCATTTTTGTTTCGGACGTTTTCCGTTTTTGCTTCACCCCACCCATTGGGTTAGGATTTTGGACGTACGTGTTTCGTCTGTGACGCTTTCCTTGTCTGTGATGGACGTGTGGCCGTATCGTCCATGTCACCTGTTAGTGGTACTACACTTGTGTTCAACTGATATGTACTTAGCCAAGTTCGGCATGAGTTGTGGGGATTTTATTTTTTCATTGCTCGAGGTCGGCAAGTGCGCGTGGTCCTCGGCTTCCCTCTTTTATTTTCCCTTTTTCCTTTCCTCTTTTTTTTTTATTTCCGTTTCCGTTCCCTATTTCGGGGAGTATCCTTCTTTCAGGCTTCGGCCGAAGAGTGTGCTCGTCCTTCGGCCGGTTCGGACTTCGTTTATAACGTCCGTGATCTCAGAGGGGTCCCGTCGCCTATTTATGACGCAGGCTAGACTTTTGGTTGGTTTCCAACGGCTGCCGTTGCCCAACCCTGAGTGGGGGGATTCTGCCACCTCGGCCATGATTTCAGGCCTGTCGTCCTGCGATCTGGCGTGTGGACGACGCGGTGATCTTCCCATTTCAAGACGCGGGCCGTTTGCGGGCCCATCGTCCTGGGGACATCGTCGGCCATACCTGAGCGTTTCACTCTAGGCTTACGGGGCCAGGACGATGTGCTCTCTCAGCTAGGCCTGAGCCCTTCGCTGATACAAAATACAATGGAGTATGCCTGAGCTTGTCGCTCGTAGGCTGCAAATACAAAATACAATGGAGGGCACCTGCTAATATTTTACTTTAAATTCCAAAGAAAAAATCAAGAGAAACATGATTTTATTCATAAGTGGCTCGAGGCCGAGGGTGGCGTTCAATGAGTAACCCGTTAAGGGGTGAGGGCTTCGCCGTCTGCACCTCCTTCGGATTACTGATAAAACTTCACTAGATGGTGTACATTCCACGTTCGTGGTACATTGGACCCATTCGGGCGTTTAAGCTTGTAGGTGCCGGGTTTGACCACGGCACTGACGATGTAGGGCCCTTCGTACTTCAATGCTAGCTTGCCTCCTTCCATCGGCTGGCTCGCTTCCCTTCGGCGGAGGACGTAGTCCCCCACTTGGAATTCTCAGGAACGTACCTTGGCGTCATAGTATGATTTTACCTGACGCCGGTAGTTCTCTGCTCGGATGAATGCTTGCTCACGTCTTTCTTCGACCAGGTGGAGGTCGATCTTCATGTTCTCCTCATTAACCTCTGGGTCATACTGCTCCACTCGTCGGCTGGGAATGGTGACCTCTGTGGGTGCCTTAGCTTCAAAGCCATAGCACAGGGCAAAAGGTGTTTCACCCGTCGCCCTCCTTGGCATGGTACGATAGCACCACAGGATGTTGGGGAGCTCGTCGACCCAACTCCCTCCTGCGTCCTGTAGGTTCTTCTTCAGCCCTTCCATGATGGTTCTATTGGCGTTCTCAACCTGCCCGTTGCCTTGAGGGTAGGCAACAGAGGAGAAACGGTGTTTTATCCCCCATTCTCGAAGGAGCTCCTGGAAGGGCGCCGCTTCAAACTGGGTGCCATTGTCGGATATGATCTCTTGGGGGATACCAAAGCGGGTGAGAATGTTCTTGTGAACGAACTTCTGACACCTGGACCCCGTGATGCTGGCCAAGGGTTCCGCTTCGACCCACTTAGTGAAGTAGTCGACTGCGACGATGATGTAGCGGTTGTTGCCGGCAGCTCTGGGCAGAAGGCCGACCAGGTCAATCCCCCATCTTGAGAACGGAATAGCAGTGCTGACGGGGGCGTAGTTGACGGCTGGCCGACCAGGGGCCTTCTGGAGTACCTGGCACGTGGTACACTTCATGGCCAGGTCCGCATAGTCTCGCGCCATCGTCGACCAGAAGAAGCCCTGAACAACGAGACGCCGGGACATGCTGAAAGGGCCCTGGTGCGAGGAGCAAACACCATAATGAACTTCTTCCATGGCCACGTCGGCCTCATCCTGGTGCAGGCATCGAAGGAAAGTGCCATTATAGGATCATTTGTAGAGTTTGCCATCTTCAATGGTGTAGCTTGGGGCCCTGAGTTTGGCGAGTTTGGCCCTCTCCTCGTCCGGGGGCAGCTCCCCCGTCGTGATGAAGGTGATGATGTCGGAGATCCAGTCCTCCGGTCGCTGTTGGACGCACAAGACGGGGCTGGCATGGATGTTGGACATGCTCAACTCCTCGATCTTGGCTAGCTGGGAGATGTGCTCCGAGGTGTCCGAGTTGAGTTTGGAGAGGATGTCGGCCTCGGCGTTCTCGGCCCTTGGGATCTGTGTGATCTCGTGGGTTTCGAACGCCTTCAGCAGCTCCTCCGCTGCTTGTTTGTACTGCTTCATCCGGCCTTCCTTTGCTTCGTACGTACCCTCAACCTGGCCCACTACCAGCTTGGAGTCGCACCTGATTTTGATGTGTCGGGCTCTGAGGCCGGCGACGAGTCTGAGGCCGCTGAGGAGGGCCTCATACTCGGCTTCATTGTTGGATACCCTGAAGTTGAAGCGGATGGCATAGTAAGCTCTGAATCCTTCAGGGGATATGAGGACGACGACGCCACCGCATGATTTCGCGGCCGACGAGCCGTCAGTGAAGAGTATCCATGTGTCATCGGGCTCTGGCCCGGGGGCGGTAGCGGCTGTCTCCCTTGTCGTGCATTCGGTGATGAAGTCGGCCAAAGCTTGCCCTTTGATGGATGGCCTTGGCTTGATTTCAATCTGAAATTGACTGAGGAAGATCGCCCATTTCACCATCCTTGAGGAGCTAGTGGGGCTCCTCATGAGCGCGCCGAGGGGCTGCTGGGTCAGCACATGGACGGCATGGGTCTGGAAGTAGTGCCCCTGCTTCTTCACCGTATGGACGATGGCAAGCACCGTCTTCTCAATGGTGGAGTACCTGAGCTCGGCCTCCCTGAGTGTCTTGCTGATGTAGAAGATGGCCTTCTGCACCCCTTCGTCCTCACGAATGAGCACGGAGCTGATGGCCGACGTGCTCACCCCTAAGTATAAGAAGAGGGTTTCGCCGGCTTTGGGCTTGGAGAGCACGGGCGGGGACGATAGGTACCTCTTCAGCTCTTCGAACGCTTCCTGGCACTCCGTCGTCCACTTGAAGCTATTGGCTTTACGCATGATCTCGAAGAAGGGGAGTGCCCTTTCGGCTGACCTGGAGAGGAAACGGTTCAGGGCCGCCAGGCGCCCCATCAGTCACTGTACTTCCTTGACGTTGCGGGGCGGCTCCATGTTGATGATGACCTGTGTCTTCTCTGGGTTTATCTCGATGCCTCTCCGGCTGACCATGTAGCCGTGGAACTTGTCGCCCTGGACGCCGAAGGCGCACTTCTTGGGGTTGAGGCGGAGCCTGAACTCCTTCATGATTTCAAAGATTTCCCGGAGGTCGTCGACATGGGTGGAGGCCTGCCTGCTCTTGACGATCATGTCGTCGAAGTATGCCTCCATCGTCCGGCCGAGGACTGCTCTGAAGATCTTGGCCACCATCCTAGTATAGGTGGCGCCAGAGTTTTTGAGTCCGAAGGCCATGACGAGGTAGCAAAAGATTCCCTCTGGGGTCATGAATGTCGTCTTCTCAGCGTCATCTTCATGCATGGAGATTTGGTGGTACCCTCTGAAAGCGTCAAGGAACGACATCAACTCGCACCCCGCCGTCTCGTCCACCAACTGATCAATGTTGGGAGAGGGAACGGGTCCATGGGGCACGCCTTGTTCAGGTCAGTGTAATCAACACACATTCTGAATGTTGGTGGTTTTTGGGTGAGGACGATGTTGGTCAACCACGTCGGGTACTTCACCTCTTTGATGTGGTTGATTGAGAGGAGCATGGCGACCTCCCCTTTGACGAAGTCCCGCCTGTTGGCGGATAAGTAGCGCCGCTTCTGCTTGACAGGCGCGGAGGCTGGATCGACGGTCAGCCGGTGAGTAATCACCTGGCGGCTGATGCCTGGCATGTCGTCCGGGCCCCATGCGAAGACAACGGCGTATGACCGTAGGACGAGGAGAATGGCGTCCCGCTGGTCCTGTGGCCTGTGGGAGCTGCTTCCCGATTCTGAGGACCCGCTCCGGCCGGGAGGTATCCAGAGGGACTTCCTCGGCCGGTTCAGCATGCGGCCTCTCCTCGTCCTTGGCAACGGCTGCCGTGATGGTGTCTATCCTCTGTCCTTCCCTTTCGGCCGGCCTCGTTAGCTTGAGGTAGCATGCTCTGGCTATCCTCTGGTTTCCTCTGGCGCAGCCGATGCCGCCATTGGTGGGGAACTTCAGACATAAGTGCTTCATGGAAATGATGACCTCCAAGTCCTCCAGTGCTGGCCGCCCTAA